AATGTTTATATTTTGTTTCTCCAACTTTGGAAGCTCTCTCAGGAGAAGCTGGGTGGCAGAGCTGCTCACAGGCAGAATTTCAGCCCAGTCACCCCCTCCCCCCGGCCACCATGAGGAAATGAGAGGATCAAAGCTTCAGTACACTGGAAGCATAGCTGGCCCAGGCACTTGCCTTGGTACATCAGTTAGGAGAACTCTGCCTTAGGGTACTGTGCTAATAGTAGGTGCTCAGAAAGTATTTGTTGGTGGACTGATTGATCTTATGCGATTGTATTTTTCCCAACATTCTCCCTGAAGCCTTGCTAAAGTTTCTGTATCGGTACTAAACTCATTAAAAAGAAAAGAGAAAGAGACACAAATTGATGATTATGAAGTTATGAAGTAGGAATCTAAAACTTCATTTAATGATGAGAGAGACCTAATTAAAAATATTTATGATTGGTGATTGAGCCATTGGACACATCAAAAACTTTGGAGGCTGTAAATGTGAGAGGGGTTTTCATACATATAGTACTCAGTTTATGGTCATTTTTACTGTCTTTTCATGGAGAAATCTGAGTGAGTGAGAAATAAATTTAAAAATGTTTAGTCATACAGAATTACAATCTGAGAGTTTCAATTATATGTATATATTGCTGCACTGCTTATTTTTAATTTTAACTCCTAATAAGTTGATTTGGAAAAAGAATTGTACTCATTAAAAAACCATCATGTGTGAATACAGTTTTGTATTACATACCTCATGTCAACTACGTCAATCAGGTATGTTCAAAGTTTTTTTGAAAAACAGTGTCTAGAGAAGTACTTGAGCATATTAGTTATTCAGTTACTATTTCTAGCACTAAAAAGTCAAATGATATAAGACTGGGCGTGGTGTAATCTCAGCACTTTGGGAGACTGAGACAGTCAGATCACTTGAGGTCCGGAGTTCAAGACCAGCCTGGACAACATGGTGAAATCCCATCTCTATTAAAAATACCAAAAATTCGCTGGGCGTGGTGGCGCATGCCTATAGTCCTAGCTACTTGGGAGGTTGAGGCACGAGAATTACCTAAGCCTAGGAGACGAAGGTTCCTGGGAGCCGAGATTGTACCACTGCACTCCAGTCTGGGTGACAGAGCGAGACTCTGTCTAAAAAAAAAAAAAAAAAAAAAAAAAAAGCCAAATGAGATAAGTAGAACATATGGAACTTCTATTTGCAACTTAATTTTAGTGTACTTTTATTTCTAGCAATAAATCTTATACACAACGTTTGTAAATATTAATAGAGGGTTAGCATTTAATTTTAAAGTCAACCTAATTTTGGAAAGGAATTAAATATTAACAATCAGATACCTTTTTACATAGTATGAAATAGATACTGATACCCTTGCCTCCAGGAAATAGCTGTGATCCTGAAAGCTTTAGATAACTTGAATTTTTGTAAATTGAATCTTATTTTATTACATATCAGATATCAGAAGAACTAATTCTTAAAGGCCTCCTACTATGAATCTTTTGTGTAGCGAATATGCAAGTTGTATTTGTTTATTTTTCAAATTCAGGGAGTTATGGGTTATCTTTGCATATACGTATCTATGTGCGTTTAAAAAATAATATTGATGTCCAATTTTTAAAAATTAAAAACAGCCACTTAAGTAGGCTACTTAATTCCTAAACTTTTTCAGTAGCAGCAATTTAATAATAAAATATAACAACTTAAAAATTAAAGTTTGCTTTCTACTCATATCTCAAATCTTGTAACTGGCAAAATATTTATTAAAAGCAATGTTTGTCATCCCTTCTCTGGTTCTGACACTGTATCATTCTTTGTTTTTGTGACATATGTTTCTCCTTGTAAAGCAGCTGTTACGAAAGTTTAATTTGTTTTTAATTAATGAGAATTAATGTCCTGAAAATTTTGTGAGTTTTCAACCACATCATGAATAGTTCGAGACTGTTGAAATGTGTTGCTTATTCCAAGGTAGGAATGTATGGGGTTTCTCTGAAAGAAAACCGGGTCCTCCTTCCTCATGAAGACTAGGCAAGCTACGTCTATACTATGAGGTAGGTAATATGTTCAAATAGCACAGCTAGTTTCTCTTCTTCATTCTGAAGAAATTCTAGGAATTATGATACAAAATTAGTCAAAAGATGTCACTGAGTCCTAAATTGTAGCAAGTCAAGATAGAGCCCTTCCATAGGAAAAAAATTTCTCAAATTTGAACAATTTTTGTTTTGTCATCAATATTACATGGAAACAAAGCAAATGGATACTATTGAAAAAATAAGAATTTGAAAAACTCAGGTGAAGAAATGAGAGATAGTTCCTTGATCTGTTTCTATCCCAGTGGTAGGCTGAATCATTATGTGCTTTAACTGTTCCATGCCACTGTGCGGCTGTATAAAATGAAGCAAAACCATGAGGTTTCTAGTCTCCTGGAGGTTAAGTGTGGGTTGGAGGCTATCATCATGGTGGGCAGCCTGAAGAATACTTTACATTCATTGGGTTTATGGGCCACACTGCATCCTGTATTTTAGAAGACAGGAAAGGTAGCACGGAGCTTTAGTTGCAGTACGAAAAAGAGCCTGAACAAGATTTACTATGTTTTGTCCTGTTGAGGCAAGTTGAAACATTGCAGAGCTTGAACTGTTATGACTCATTAGATTTGCAGGGATAGAAAAGGAGTTATTATGGTCTACATTATTCTGATGAGGACACCTACGGGTAGGAGTCAGTCTCTGAATGGTATGCAGGTATCAATAAGGATGAAGGGTTAGATAGTAATTTTCCGTGGCTTATAGGAATTTTCACATTTTTGAAAATTTGGCTTCATGATCTGGCATGTTGGTAAATTTTCAAATCTTCTTTGAGGAGGTGGTCTGAACCAAGAAGACAGTTTCAGTTGGTGCTTGAGAGCTACTAAGATGAATTGCTCTAGTCAGTCACCCAACCAAGAAGACTGTACTGGTTTGGGGTGACTCATTCTGTAACATAGCCTCCGTATTCTGAATGTTGATATGGAGCCAGGAAAGAGATGAGTGTTGGAACACACCCAGACCCATTCCTAAACATTCATTTCTGCCATGCCCAGCTGCTTAGCACAGTGGCTTTCAAAATAATAGGTTCTCTGTTAACACTAGTAGAATTGAATTACATCTATCAAATCTTCTATAAATTACAGCTTTATTCCCTGCCTTTTCAGTGTCAGATAAGTAATTTCTACCTAGGGAAGCTCACATATGCTGCCTCATAAGAGGGTATCTTCTGAAATATTTGTTGACAGGTTGTCTACCAAATTTCATTGAAATGATAATTATGGCCATAGCTGTTAATCATTTATTAATATTTGGTCATGAGGGTTGGCTATAAGATTTGTTTTTTGTAAGAAAAGTACTCTAGAAGGAAGCCAAATTTTAGTGAGTTCATTGTACTTTATCAGTCATCATGACATTTATATTTAAGGATAAAAACCTATGTTTACTTGCACATAATCTCTTCTGTGCATGATTTACTATACTCATAATCCAGAATGTGTTTCACCATTGGAAAATTCTGATTATAAAACAGTAATAACTTGTTATTCAATTGTGTGGTTTAGAAGTATCATGCAGGGTAAATGGATCTTCCCATTTTTTATTTAAATTGATGAAGCAAAGTACCATTCGGTAAAGTCTATTTTTAAAAGTATTTATTCAGTTGACAGCCAATCCCAAACTAAAAGAGATGAAAAATAACATGATTACGAACATGACAAATTGCCTGTAGTTTAATGGTATGAGGAAGAAGGCAGTCTTATAACTTTAAGTATGTATGATTAAACCAAAACCTGTGCATAAGTTCTGATGTGGAACAGTGATATCAGATATCTTAATGATTCGCCAGTGGGGTAAATTGGACATTTGAGTAGAATAAAAGTATGTGGATGTAAGGTATTTTGTCTTGTAGTGAAATAACCAGGTTGGTCTAAGTGTTGCAAACCAGGACAAACAATGGACCAAAAAAACAAGTGCAGACAGAAACAGGAACTGACCTTAGTTTTGCCGCTAGCTATGGCTCTGGGTAAATAACCTGAGGTACTCACTTTCTCACTTGTAAAAGTGGAATCAGATGATCTATGTGTCCCAAACAAGGAAGGAAGGATCTTAGAGATTTGTAGCCTAGGCTTGGTGACAGGAGAAGGTGGAGCCTATATTTACAGTCCATGAGGACCTATGTTGGTGTGATTGAAGGGTGGCAGAGTTTTAAAAAAGAAGACCCAGTTTACATTTTAGGTTGTCAAACATTTGGGCATATCACAGCATCTTAGTATCTTATGTTCCCTGATTTGTAAAATGAGGTCAATAGTCTAGATCTCTAAAATTCCTCTTAGTTCCAAAATTCAAAGAATTATTTTGGATGGAACTTTAGAACAATCGAGAACTATTTTTTTTTTTTTTTTTTTACTAAATTATGTTTTCAAAATACATTTTCAGATATATATCCCTTAGGTGTGTTAGATGCTGGAATAATTAAATATTGTTCAAATGCAGGGAAATTATTATAAATAATCTTAGAGCCTAAATTAATTCCCAAATTAACAGATTCAACATGATGAATAGTTCTCTAGCAAAGCATTTTTTAAGAAATAAATCCTAAGTTTAATAATTACCCTTAATTTTCTTTTCTTTCTTATTTTTTTGATGTAACACACCCTCACCCTGATATTATCATGCTTGCATTGCTTATATGAAACAGGATAAATCTTTCCCAAAAAAGTGCTCACAGAGACATCCACAGAGAAAAACAAATATATTGTTGTTTCAAATAGTTTCAAATAGCAGAAAGGCAGTCACTGGCTTAGGACATCACTTAGTAATGTTTTAGAGAGCCACTCATTTTGGCATGGTTCTGCTAGTAAAACTTAATGTGATTTATGCTTTAATTAACTCAAGATAAATTTTTAGAAAAATTTAGTTCAATCTGAGAGAGTAAACATTTTCAAATCTTACAGTTAAGACTTCAATAGTATGAGAGCAAGTTTAGAAAACATTTTTATTAGACAAATTATTTAGACAAATTATACACAGAAAGCTCTGTCACTCATAACTGAGGCCTCCAAAAATGTTTTGTGTGTTTGTATAATAGGCGATACATCAAAATAAGCCTATTTTAAATATTGTACATGGTTAACAGTTTGTTGATAGCTAAAATCACTGCAACATCTGGTATGTCCCTATATAGCTTGTTGTAAAGATTTTTTTGTTTTAAAATCAGAGTTGTAAATGAGATCATGAATGTTACAAGGGAAAACAAGTTGTGCATGCACTTAGGTACTTGTTACCCTGGAAACAAAATGGTTTTTGCATGATGAGAAATTTTTCTGCCTTACACAGTAGACAATATTTGAAGATTTAGTACAAAACAGTGACAATACAAGATGCTCCCCAGAACAGAATTAGCATCAAAATATAATATATCTTAAGAATATACCTTTTAATTTCTCCTAAAGCAAATCACATAGGTTGATTCCTATATCAATCCTAGCCACAGAATGAATTAGATTAAAGTAAGTGTATGGCTGCGTAAAAACACAGAATAAGTTCTTGTTTCCTACTTACCACATTTTAATTTAAGGATTACAAACAAGGTTCATCCTACATTTCTAACAAGAAAGAATGCTACTTTAAAAGGGTTGTGCACAAAGAGGCACTGCTTTTGCTGTCATCCTTCTATATACTTGGCACTAATGTAAAAAATACATAACTCCTCCAAATAGAACTAAATAAAAAAGGGGGTTGAGTTGAGAGCCCATTATGGTTATTATGTTTTCTTCTTTAGGATAATAAATGACAGTAATTTAAGGCCACATCAATAGTTCTTAAGGGCTCCCACCCCTCCCCAAATATCATAATTGTATTGATTGACTTGCTGCTTTGGAAGAGGATTATTAACCTTCAATGATCTATGTTTCAACTCTCCTAGAGCTCTATGTGCTGTTGTGGATGTGGTTCAGCTAATAGCATTTTTCATTTAGATAATTAATTAAAAGTAAAATTATCAAGGTTAGCTTTATACACTGCTGAATAACAAATGCGAAACCTATTCAAATGAGTTACATCTAGGAACAAATATTAAATTGCCCTGGATGCTTTAATAACAAAAGTATAAAATATTTTCTGTTGGCAAACAATGCGAGTCAGAATAACATTAAAGCAACCTGCCTTTTCTAACTGAAAAGAACCCCTGCACTATACATAGTTCCTGTATACAATACTTTTGTTTAAACTAAAGCTTTATTAAATGAATTGCAATAGCAATGGCCGCCTTTTTATATATATATACACATTATGTAGGTGCATATATATGTATATATATGAAATACTAATTTATTTAACACAATAGAGGCTTCTGCCATATGATAAAGTTTACTGTACATAAGAAAAAACTTTTAATACTGTACAATCACATAAAGGTCATATGCACTGTTGCAGTGCAAGAGTAGTTTTAACTGTAGTCTTGACTGGCATATTAATGGCTTTTTTGTAATCCTACAAAATTGCATTCTCATCTTATGTGGCCTGAATGGTCTTTAAATTGTTTTATAAACACTGCAGGGGTTGCCTTTGGTCCACAGTTAAAGGACACTCAACAGCAGTGGAGCATTGTATGGATGCAGCAGAAGAATGTAAAAAGACTGAAGTTATTGCAATTGTATTTCTAAAAATAGAGAAATGTTACAGAAGAGGCCTTTATGTAAAATTAATCCTGCATATACTTTTAGTATACTCAGTGCACATTTCCTATACTTGATGTACAGTATATGAAAAGCAGACTAATAGGATCCTAGTACACTACCTTCTTGGGGAACAAGTTGAGTAATGAAAAAAAGTGGAGGAAAGTGTACAGGAAGGGAGGGGAAAAGAGAGAAAATAATAGAGGAGAGAGGAGAGGGAAAAGGTGGGAGGAAAATACTAGAATTGTTACTAATAATCCTGATCTTTTTTTTAACGTTACATCCATGTTAGTCCCACAATATTACAGTTGCTCCTTGCAAAGGGAGTCCTAAAAAAGAAACAGTGAAGAGATTTGTTTGATGCTCATATGGAGGTGCCTCGGTCTGGATCATTACCCAGATTGAGCCCCAGGGTAGGAGTTGGTTGATAAGGAATAGATGACATTGTTTTTATAGGACTCCTGAAAAAGCCCCCATTAGGTGCCCTGTGCCTAAAAGGGCCAGTTCGGTGCTCAGGCACGTTGCCAAAAGTGAAACCAGAAGCAGCTTTAGCTGACAGTGTGCGGCTAAGAGTCTGGATCTGCTCTGGGATAAAGGTTGTTGTGGTAATATGAGTGTTCCTGAAATCACTGATTTGCTCCAGTGCTTGTCGTGTTGGCAAAGTGTCAATGTCCAGAGGGGTCAAATCAATTGACGAGGTGGAAAACTGTTTATGGGGGCTGTCGTCATCTGTGCACAAGCTATTTACACGTCTATGGAGGTGCTCCAGGTCAATTTCCTTGTCATCCTGGAGATGAAGAAAAAGAAAATAAGGTTCTCATCAGTACTAGCTTTGATGGTTAAAAAAAAAAAAAAAAAAAAAAGTAGTTCAGCAAACATGTAATTAACTGAACTTTGTGGTTTATTCATTTAACAAATATTTATTGAGCACCTAGTATGAGCCAGGCACTGTGCTAGGTTCTGGGGGTTCCAATTCTGAGATAAGGTTATCTACAATAAATATTTTTCTTGCAGTAAAGGTTTTAAAGTGATCATATGCCACATGCAACTACAAAGATATGGAAGCAGTTGATGGGTGATTGCCATTCTATGAAAGACAGGCCCAGGCAAAATTGTACCAATAGAAATTACGGTTTTGGCAACTCTAACCCCACCTCTTCTTTATACATGCTTCCTCCTTTTTCAGGGTGTCTCATTCCAAGTTAAATTTTTGTTCCTTTCAACCACTTACTCCTAACCTTAAGTTTCCATTCTTGAAAGAAAATGATATAGTCAGCTATTTCATACTAAAGTGTTAGTGACTGTTAAAGTGTTATTTCTTGTAAGCCAAGGATATGTGAGATTGTTGAGAGAGAGCAATACTCAACACAAAATAATTTCTAATTGAGGGATTTTATGCACTCAAGGTATCTAGCACCTGAATCAGTGAATATTGTGAAGTCAGTGAGATATTTAGGGACCCCTTCAAGTTAGGGCATGGGAGTGATAGCTTTAGTTTAGGGCCAGCTTTATGCTAACTGACCTCAAAACCAAAGACGCTTTAAGCTATGCTAATGGCGTCTTGGTAAGAAGGCAGTTAATAAACAAAAATATAACTAAAATCTCAGATTTTTGGAATTGAAACCAATTTATAAATTCCTTATAATTTTCACTAAAAGTGAGTATTAAATATTTGAGAAATAAATATTTCTCAAGATTTGAGAAATAAATATTTCTCAAGATTTGAGAAATAAAACTGGAAGGAAATAAAATTATCCTTGTTATTAGTCTTATTTATAGCCAAACTCAATAAATTAAATTTATGAGAATTTAAAATATCTATTAATCATAAGAGGAGAAAATATTTTTTTCATAGGACCTGGATTAGCTGTCACAAGTTAGAATGGAGTATGTATTTTTTCCATTGTGCTGTTATAGTGCTCCTCAGTGAAAAATATTTTGATGTGCATCACTGTTTTTCCTTCTCCCTTCTCATTTCAAAATTCAATAAAAAATATCCATTTATGCAATATTATCACTGAGACTTTAGAGGATTGAGACATATAATTTTATGGTTCCCACAGCAACTGTAATGTAGTCATCCATCAACAGATATAATAATGCAAAATTTTAATGTCATGTATAGTAATTCAAAATATAAGGAGCTTGGGGAGTCCTTACTTTCCAGATTTTTAAAAATATGAAGTCTCAGCTATAATGTTGCATTAATGTGGTCTTTTGCATTGAATCAATGTCAACAGAGATACCAGAAGCTTATTCCACAAAAAAAATGCTACAATAAGACTTGATTAATTTATAATTCATTCTTCAAATATTTAGAATGTATGCTCATTCACACAGGTAGGAAGCTAAAATTCGTCTTCGCTAAAGCCAAGCTTTTCCTTATAAATGATGCTGATCAATTTTGCATATAAGGTGATAAGAAGGAATCCTTACACTACTTTTGAAATCACCCTGTTTGAAAAAAATACATTAACATGCAACAATTCATATGCAAATGAGAAGTCGTATTTATTGTGCATTAAAGCAGATCCTTTCAGGATTCGCCTCAGGCATCAGTTAGTCAGCCAAGTTCTAGCTATAGAAAGTTTAAAACTTTCTTTGAAGCTATCCATCAAATCAAATCGTTTAGCAAATTCAGATTGGTTTTTGTTTCAATTTGTGAAGCTTTAGTGAATATGACCTCATTAGTTAAAACATTTTCACCTCATTGGTCCAATGGAAATAAGATAAATGAATCAAGATTTAACTTCAGATTTTCTTTAATTTATAAGTCTTATACTTCATGATGAAAACAACACTCAGGCCACTACAAGAGAGATATGTGTAATTCTGTAATTATTCTTTCAGATAGCGAGATAAAATTTAATATGGCCCTGATGTTAAGCTGGCTCCAGAGTAAAGGAGAAAAATTGAAATTTGGATGTTTCAATGATGTGGATTTTGGATTTGATAAGCTTGGGGCCATCGAAGAGCTTCTGTCAATCTACATGAGTAGAGAAGGAGGCAGTCTAGTGGTGAAGAGAAAATTCTGATCATTTTTATTATAGTATTGTATTTTTGGGGGGCTAATCTTAGAGACAAAAGGAATTTACTTACAAGTTAAACACCTAAGTGAAATAAAGTGGTAAGTATCTCTGTGAACTGGTCGAAGGAATCATGGCCTTTAAAAATCATTGAATTAAAATCTATTCTGAGATTTGAGAGAATTTCAAAGCCCATTATGGTATATGAAATTCTAAGTCTTTCAAACACTATAGTCTCCTCTTTACTGATCTAGGGATAGCCTAAAATGGAAATTGATATTGATCTTACCAACTTTTATATTTCACAACTTTATTTTTAATCTTCAAAGAAGAAACAGGGACCACCCCCAACCCATTATCCTCCCTGGGTTCGTCCTCCCTGGAAATACAGCCTGCTTGTTGATTTAATTTAGAGCCAAAGCTCTCAATCAAGTACCTCTTTTGATGGAACCCGGGAGCCTTTCCTCTTGTTCCACCACGTCTCCAGCATGGCTATGAAGCAGGAGAGGACAATTCCAGCAGCCAGGATACAAAAGACCCCTGCAAAGCTCTTTATGTCCAGGGCGCCTCCTTTCTGCTTTGTGTCCACTGAGGAGTACAGGTCACACTGGCCATTCTTAGGCCACCATTTGTGCTTCAGGATGTCCATGTCACCATTCTGCTGAAGCTCCAGGATCCTTGGGATAAAGAACATAAGCGTGTGTTATTACAGACATAGTTATTGCCCTTGTTCACAACACATCCATTTATAATCCCACCTCTGTAGGATGGTGGCTGTCAAGGGGAAATGAATATATAGATCTGCTTGTAGATGGAGTGCTAGGAAATGGAGAGTCATCATTGCGTTGATTCTACAGACAGCATTGTACCACAATGCTTTCCTCTCTCTCTTCACCCATCCCGCCCTCCCAGCTTCCTCTCTGCTTTTCTTCCTATTCTTCTTCTGGTTCCATCCTGTAATTCTAAATATTTTCCTCCTGGTTTGCTGCAGTGTGTTTTTACAATCATATTTCAGAGGCACTGTTTTTATACACTTTCAAGTTGCTGCAGTTCTGTGTCCCTTTCCTGCATCCAGAATGATACTCTGGATCTTAATGCTTTTATGAAGAACGTTTTGCTGCTTAGAGCAAGATGCTGGCATAATGTCACCCAGCATATGCTACACACAAAGAAATTCAATTAAGAAGACCTATTATTTAACACAGTGTGAGAGAAAGCCTTGGGACAAGTTTCAAGTTGATAAAATCCATCTTTTTTGGTTTTTCGCACAACTCATCTAGTTTCCTTTTTAATGCCAAAGGGGAAGTAATCTTACCTTGGAAAACAAGAAGAAAAGCTGACCAGAGGCTTTCAGAAGTAGTTAAATTCAAATAGGAAAAACCCTCTTCTTTTTCTTCTGCCTCTTCTTTTTCCCCTCCCCAGAGTCTGAGGGTAGCTGCAGACTGCAGCTTTTTAAAGCATGTTTTTTCATACAGGAATTATTCTCAATTCCCAGTGCTTCTTAGGCTCTACCTGAGGCCAGCCTAGCTGTGGCCCTCCTCCAGCTATGCCCTTTTTCACAGGGTAAGGAAGACCAGGCCAAGGCTGTGTGCCTGCACAGAGTGTGCATCATCCTCTGGGTTCCCTGGAATTCCCTGGTCAAACAGCTTAGTGCTTCCAGGGCCTGCTAGGCCTATTCCCAGGGTTGTCCTCCTGGCAGAAGATCTTACATCCATGGGTGCACCATAGTTCTATAGGGTAGAGTTTGTAGAGAGTGTGGACAGAGCTCAGATGAGTGAGCTCAGGTGCATAAAGCCTTGGGTAGGAGACACTTCAGTGTGCAAGATGGAGCTGCAGGTGGAAAGAGAGGGCCCCAGAGCCCTGTGCTCCTGGGTCAGTGCAGACCTCCTGGCTAGTCACATACAAACCTGAACCTGGCCTCCTAGGGGTTACGAAGGTATATTTGTCCAGATAAAAACATAGAATATATTATATCTAACGGGTTTCAGTTTAATGTGTAATTTTTACATGACTAGACTTAGGGTATGTGAACCTACATTTGTACTCTTGCCCAAGGTCTTGGATTATTTTGGGTGAGACTGATTAAAACTTAAGAGAGAAGAATGGAGTTTCAGTGACCTTTTTACCTGTTTCATGTCATCCATGTGGCTAGAAGAACAAGCAACATGATAGAGGAAAGAAGATTCTGGGCATTGGAAGTGGGGTCAGTGTTGAATCTGAGTTAAACAAGAGTGAGACCAGCCCTCACGGCTCTGGTGGAGGGTTGGTCTCATGTCCCTGTCATCTCTGCCAGACGTTCCCACAGCCTCAGCTCTGGTGCCCTCTGCCAGCACTCCAGGACTGAGACTGTACTGAAACCTCCCCCACAACCTGGACCTTTTCTCCTTGCTTCCTATGAAATGTATCTGTCTAGAGTGTTGCTCTAGAAGAGCAACTAATTTGATTAACTGAATTTACTAAAATGATTATAAATATTAATGGGTTATATGTCACCCTTATTTCAGCTTCCATTCCAGAAAAAGCCATTTGCATTTCCAGAATTTCCAAAAGTGCATTTCACAGCAAACCAGTACCTAGAAAGCCTCTGTAAAAAGAAAAAGGGCCTTGTGGTTATTAATTCCAGGAAACACACTCCTGGAAATTTACAAAGATGTCAGCCTATTAAAGACTCTCAGAAGACCAGCAGAAAAGAAAACTTCATGATTTTGTTTAATTCAGCATTTCCCAATGACTTTTATTCCCCTTCCCTCATTTTGCTCTCCAAGTAACAGGTTTAAGAAATATACATGAGAAACAATCTCTTGATCCAAAGAAGCAACTACTTGTAGAAATTTCCAGCACTGTGTTAGGCAACACACAAAGATGTAATCATGGATCAAAATTACTTTCTTGGCCTATTTAAATGACTATCATTTAAATGATGTTGGCATTGCTAATCGATAAGTATAAAGCTTCAGTTATGCAAGAGGGAAAAGTTCTAGAAAACTACTGTACAACATTGTACCTATAGTTAACAATACTGTATTGTACATTAAAAATTTTGTAAATAGAATAGCACCCATGTTAAGCATTCTTACTGTAATAATAGAAAATAATGGCACATTCCTTAAAGGCTCTAGGTAGTCAGAGCACCATTGAATACGTTGGAGGAAAAATTTAATCATCTTTGAACAAATAATTCTTCTTAAATTTGAGTTTATAAATACTTGTAGATATAAAAGGCAACCACAGCAACATTTGCTTAATGATAATACAGCTGGGCACAAAATGAGATCCTATTTCCCTGCTCTCCTATTTGCATCACACCATATTGGTCAATAGTTGCGTGATATGGTTTGACTCTCTGTCCCCATACGCATCTCACCTTGTAATAATTTCCACGTGTCAAGTGCAGGACCGGGTGGAGATAATTGAATCATAGGGGTGGTTTCCCTCATGCTGTTCTTGTGATAGTGAGTGAGTCTCATGAGATCTGATGGTTTTATAAGGGGCTTTCCCTTTGCTCGGCATTCATTCTCTCTCCTGCTGCCTTGTGAAGAGGTGCCTTTCATCATGACTGTAAGTTTCCTGAGGCCTCCCCAGCCATGGGGAACTGTGAGTCAACTAAACTTTTCTTTATAAATTATCCAGTCTTGGGTATTTCTTTCAGTGAGAGAATGAACTAATACATTGTGAAAGTGTAAGAATTTTCTTTCATAGCACTTATCATTATTTATAATTACTTGATTAGTCTGTTCCATTTTCTAGAGTGTGTACTCATCATCCTCCATATTGCCTACTACAGAGCAGGTGCATATTTACTGATGGAATATACTTAACACAGTTTTTGGTTCATAAATCCTAAACTCTGATCTCAGATCCTACTCTTTTTTCTTACGACTGATACTGTTTTCTAATTTATTCCATTCCTGTTTTATTCATCTATCCATTTAATAAACAGTTGAAGAATGACTTCATTCCAGACATTTCCTTGGGTACAAAATTTATTCTAAACCATGACTGCACATTCCATCCGAGTGGCTTGAGTGACACTGTGAAGCCATTTTTTTAATGCCCTCAGTTCATGTTCATTCATTCCTTCATTCAGGAACTGATTTACTGCCTGCACTTTCTTCTCAGTGGTATTTGGGGCTCTTGCATTTCACGTATTTACTTCTCTCTCCTTATTCTTTCTAAACCTGGAAAATATTTTGACTTTAGAAATAATTATTGAAGTGTATATATATATGCATCATATATATGCATCATATATATTTTATATATATTATACCTCACCTATTTCAATTCTAATAGGAATTAAAAGCCTCAAACCAAAAAAAAAATCATTTAATTGCAGAATTTTTAGGTTCAGCCAGCTGAGCGATAGGAGATCACCGAGGGGAAAGAAGGAAGCACCCTCTCTAGGTGCCTCAAGTATCACTATGCCACAAAAGTCTCTTTGTATGGTTTATTTTATGCTCACAGCAGCACAAGTGGCTGGGGCATTGCAGGGAGATTTCATCTTTGGGGATGTACAGAGCAATTGGACCATATGACCCCTCAGTCACCCCGACAACAGATTCCAGGAATACAGGCTGGCATGGGCTACAAGTGTTGGAAGGGAATGAAAGTGTTTTCTAAGTCCAGAGTTCTGTCATAACATTTTGCTACAAAATGTAGTGCTCCTGGAAATTCCATCAGAATGGTCTCACCATGACCTCCTTTTTATGATTTAACAAAAACCCAATTTAAAGATTAGGTAAAGCAAGTGTGGTAAAATATAATGCACTGCCTGGAAGGCGAACAGGATTAATTTTTATAATAAACAAAGAGATATGTTCTCTTCAATCTTTCCAGAGCACTGGCCCTTTTAAGTTGAACTTGAAAAATCACCTAAAGGAGAATTGTACCTTGTAATTATAAGCAACAATAATGTGTGTGTGCGCGCATGCGCATATGTATGACAATGCAAAAATCCAGTTACAAAATTCTTAATAAATACAAGAAAAACTTTTGAGTTTATGGAATAACAATGTTTGTTTGGTACGCAATTTCCACAAGATGGCAGTCTTTGCTTATAGAGAGCAGAGAGTTACTGTGGTTATAGTTAATCTATGGGATTGAAGTGCTGAAGTATAGACTTCTTGGGGCTGTAAATACGTAAACCATTAGAAATAAGTTTAGCTATTAGATTGTGATGAACTAATGGCTAAAATCTCTTTTTGGAGTATAGTCAGAAAAATTCCTGCTATGTTTACCCCATGATGATGCATAACAACACTTACATTGGAGGGTTAGTGTGGGGTGAATTAATGAGACCACACATGACAGTCTCAATGATCAAGATGCATGAAAAGCTCATTGCTTGGCACGTGGAAGGCTACTGCAACTCTAAAGCTAGACTTATTATTGTCACACGTATGACCACTGTTTTTTCTTTGGATCTGTTCCGGCACATACTTCTTAATGGAGAATTATATGCCCATATGATCAATGAATGATTCACTGACAAGGACATCTCATTTCCTTTTTTTCATCCAAAATATTAAAACATATGTGATCTCATTGAACAGAAATTTTAGAAGTCCAAAAAACTTAATTGCAATTTGAAAATGGCTGATAGATCAATCCTGCACCCACTGAATTCTTTATTGGTATAAATGAGCAAATTTCAGGGGAAGGGAGTAGGGGAATCAAA